TATCCTAACTGGATGACCCCTTATTCACAGATTACGCCATTTTATCATAAACCTCACCACAAGGGGAAACAACCTTTCCACATCTACCCAATCAAAACCCTTAAGAATTTTGTATCTTTTGATTCTCCTAAACTCCAAAGAATACAACGTACTCAATGTTTCCTCATAACACAATCCCTCAATACCTGGCAGCAATCTAGTGAACTTTCTTTGGATTGCCTCCAATACTAGTATATCATTCCTTAGATAAGGGATCAAAACTGTTCACGGAATTCCAGGTGTGGTCTAACCAGTGCCGACTATAATTTTCACAAGACTTCTCTATTTTATACTCTTTCCACTTTGCAATAGTTTCCAACATGCCATTCAATAATGGGGCAGCAAAATAAAAACTATGAATGTTGGAAATTTTAAATTAAAATTGACAATGCTTGAAATGCTCAGCGTGTCTGGCAGCATCCATGGGGAGAGAAACAGAATTAATGTTGCAGGTCAAGGTCCTTCCTTCAGCAATCTCTCTTTTTAATCAATAATGTCCTTTGCAACTTTGAACACACTGGCTGCTCCCTTCCAGTTAGTTGAAATTTAGAGCACTCCTCACCCTATTTTTTCACTAATGTGTAAAAGTATGACTGTTCTTTGATACTTACACTCAATTTGCAAATAAGACTTGCTTTTTATAAACTCTGTATTTACTGCATAAATCAAACATTATCAGATTTTTTAAATAAAGGACACAATTGAATAGGTGCAAAACGCCATGTATATTTTGTTTATGAGTTCTAGTAACTTATAACTTATTATAAAAGACCAAAGGAAATTTGATGATTATCTCATGGTATTGTATCTAAACTATCTGTTCTAGGCCCCAAGAGTTGGAACATTCATCATCAGCTTCTGAGGTATTTTTGTTTCTACTTCTTTATTTTTGTACATGCCAGTTATTGAATAAGTTGTAATGTTGGCCTAGTAATTCAAGTTCTGGAGGTACAACAAGTGCCTTTAAATTGCACAGTCTTTCACCCTAGATCTCCAGAATGTAATCCATTCATAGCCTTTTCAGTACTGCTGTATGTTTTGACAGGATTACATTAATCATCACGCAGCTCATTGTGGCCTTGCCCTTGATTACAACACTCAGCCAGTTAGTATTAACCTGGCTACCTCTGCTTATTCCCATGGCAAAACATTTGTCTTTATTCTGAGTTGGCGTGGAATACAAAGTGGCAATGAGGGCGAGGAAGTATATCACCAGAACCTGCATTTATATAGCACTTCATAACACTGGAAGTTTCTCAAGGGCTTCAAAATGATATTCAGAAATAAATAGTTATCAAACCAAAGAGATGTTTGGAGTAATTGTCAAATGCTTAGTCATAGAGAAGGATCTTTAAAAAGAGGCAATGAAGAGAAAGTGAACCAGGCCATCCTACCTGGGTGAACTTACATGGCAGAAAGGACAGATACCAATCGTTGAATAAAGAAAGCAGATGTCTGAAAGACCACAGATGGAAGAATGGAAAGTTGAGTGAGGGTTGATAGATGTTGAAAGAAGTTACAGAGATTGTACAGGCCGAATTCTTTCAGAAACTTAAAATAAAGGTGAGTAGTTTGAATGGGCAACATTGGTTGTCATCTGGGAGTCAATACAATAAGAATGGGAATGGTTGGTGAACCAAATTTGAGTGCAAAAGGTGTAAGTAACTGACTTGGATGATCTGAAGTTTATGGAGAGTGGAGGATGATTGGTTAACTTTTAGAGAACAGTTTAAAACCCTAGTCTAGGGTGAGAAGGGCAGGGGTGAGTATTTCTACTGGTGGAAGAATGGACTCTGCCAATAGTGCAGAGGTAAGTGATGGCAGTATTTCACATTGAAAGGGTATTGATTGTAATATTGTGCTTGATGTCAAATGGAACGCTGTGCTTTCAACCAAAAGTCTCATACAATCCACATACATATCAGAATCAGTGGCAAGGTTAAGATGACGGGGAAGGTGGAGGTTAATGCGACAAAGCCATCATTAGACGTTGGATGAGCAGTCTGAGCTATCAGGAGAGCTGCAACTGGGTAGAGTTAGCTGTTAGCAGCATACGCGTGAGATGGCACTGTATCTAGCATGGTGCGATCAAGGAGTAACCTGTAAATGAGGAACAAGCTGAAATAGAGAAGATATTATTCAAATTCTCTCCAAGATAATAAATAATCTCCTCTTGGAGATATTCCCTAATCCACTGTGCAGTTGGTGTTCTGAGACACATCATAAATTAGTATTTCTAGAAACGTATACAGTTTCATCATAAATGCAGAAGTAATACCGATTTTTTTCTGTCAAAACGTCTGCATCTATTTTGAGGAAGAAAAATGGAGCTATTTGAACCTTTATCTGACATGTACTGAGAGAATAAGGAAAGCTCTCCTGACAAAGCGTCCATGTGTAGGTGACTGTCCCATTAGTATAGATTTTTTTTTGCACGAATATTAGCACTGATGGTGTATTGGATAAGATATGATCAGTTATACTGACAAAATCCTGGAATTATAAAAATCAAACGGTATAGTAGAAATCCATACTGTCAGGCCTGTGAAAGAGCTACCCAGTTAATTCCACTCTCATTGTAAATGCTTCTCCCTCGAAGATTTACTGAATTCTGAGTTGAAAGTTACTGTTGAAACTGCTCCCTGTATTCTTCCAACTAATTTCCAATCTAGATCATAACAATTCGCCGTGTATTTTTCCCCAAGATATCTCTGATTCTTTGCTTACTTGGCTATCTGGGTCTTCCTTTTCTCTAGTGAGAAAAAAAAATCAGTTTTCGCTTACATGCTTAATTCTTGGTACCATTCACGTCACTCTCCATTGCGCCTTCTCTAAAGCGTGCACCTTCCTAAACTGTTAATTTGCACGACGGACAAACGTTTAAATCACACCTTATAATATTGTGTGCAATGTTTTGGAACGGCCACTGCGCACACATCACTTCTGTCGGGTTTCCGTCATTTTTGCAACACTAGTTTCTACATCTTGCAGACTTAACACTGCCCAACTCAACGTGAAAAGTCTTCTCATAAAATATCACGGGATATTGAACGGGTCCCCTCACTTAAATCCCGTGGTTTTCATGGTTGCGGTTGGTAGAGGCATCGAATAACACAGTCAGGTACACGCAAATGGAAGTTAGTCAATAAATCTACGATGTACCGTCCCTCGGCGTTGAACTCTGTGTCCCCATTGTAAAACAATTCAAATTAACTATTGCAAGTAACTTTCACAAGTCAATCAACAGAGTTTATGAGCATCTCGATGACGAACGTTTGTTACAGCAAGATGTTAATAGGGATATTTGCAGTGTTCCTGGCTTCCATAAACATCATATTTTTTTTACGCCGAGAGAGCGAACGAACGGCCCTATACAGTAATAGAAGTTGAACAAACTAACATGAAATGAACGGCAGTTTGCAGACCATAAACTGACTGGCTATCGTGGGACTAGCTACGGCCGGAAGGAACCTTTGATAGCCGACCCGTACTCTTTCCCTGACAGGGTTATCCTGTGAGCAGTATGGCTTACATTACGTGATGGCACTCGGAATTTGTACAACATTACAATCAAGAACAAAAGATCCAGAGTCAAAAACAGAAATTGTTGGAAGAACTCTGCAGGTCTGGCAACATATGTGGAGAGAAAGCAGAGTTAACGTTTCGGGCCCAGTGACCCTTCAAAAAAAATCCAGAGTAATCGCTTATAAATCCAATCCACACATCTGAAGCCCGTTGTATCTTTTTGCTATTGTACTGAATTGTAAAATAAATAGAATCTATAACCGAGCGAGAGAACTGACAAAATCCTGCCGGAGCAGTCCACGGAGCTAAGCAAAAAACTGTCTTGGGGGAATAATGAACGACGCGACTTAACTCAGATTCTGCCTATTCTACCCGTTCTTAACAACTGGACCCTTTCAGACGGAAATTTCTGTCACCCATTTTAATGACTTCACAGTTCCATTTGACCCCGTTTTAAAAGGTGCAGTTATTGATGTAAAAACTATCAAAGTAACACCAGCCTTATATCCCAAGCCGCTCAGATCGATAGATCATAATGCATTACAATGCACCCCTCCTCTAATTTATTGTATATATCTTAGTATTTAACCATGTCAATACACTTTCCTTCAAAACAATATTTTAATGAGATGCTACTTTCTGACTGGATGTCAACAGTGCTCAGTGACTGGGACTATCTGCAGTGTACAACACTGACCCAACGTTAAAATGCGTTTGAAACTTTTCCCTGGTGTTTTTGATCAAATTGGATATTTTTATAATGTAGACTGCTCCGAAACATTAACAAATATATCCGAATGTGTGCTTCAGCTGCCTTTCAGTTTCATTTATATTTGTAATGCAAGCGGCTGTTAGTAATGCAGTGGCTACATAGAACTCGTTCAAACCACAGTAGCTTTATCTTACTCATGACGGGCAATTAAATCTTTGCTAAGCAATCCCATGTGTTACCGCAGCAAAAATGTTTCAATTCGTTTTTTAATCGAGTTGCAGAATCTTACAATTTTGGTTCATTTTTTTTCCGACTGAGAGAATAATTGTTGAATTTTCCCTGAAGTGAGTGTCTATCTGTAATTCCTGCTAATAAAATACTTTTTCACTATCCTCAGTAATTGGTTTACAACCTTTTCTGTTTATTTATCCATAAGAGCTGGTGTTTAATGGCTCGGGAAAGCAATTGGTTAATGGCTCAACACCGAATCAAATGCTCAGTGTCCCGTTTTACTGCAGAACTGAATGGATTCAGCTGGCGGAAGCACGTTTGACCATTAATGGGCTGTAGTTTTATGATCATATCAAAGAGTGTAATTACGAGAAATATTATAATTCTGAGAATCGTTAAAAAGTACTTTTCCTGTCATAGATTCAAAATACTTCGTTAGCGTGTGTGTATATCATTAGTAAATATTAAAATCAAGCGTAGAACTTTTGCAGAGGAGTATGCGTCTCAAAACTTATAGAAGTCTTTAATTTGATGGGAGCTTGACCATGCAGAATGGCGTAAAAGTTATGCCAAAATTCTAATTCAGTTAATTTGTCTTCTTTAGAAAAACCATGCTTAAAAATGAACAGAACACAACACAAAAAGTTGCTCGTTATCTGAGAGGATTTTTAAAAAAAATAAATCCTTTTAGCTGTTAACGAGGAACAGAAAATGGAGTTAAATGAAGCGTTTAAATGGGTAAAAATTTGCAGAAATGTGCAATTACAGCAGGAGAGCAAAGTAAATAGTCTCTGTGTGAGAAAGCGTGAATGAACACAGCTACTGAAGCGATCTTTGTCCTTTGCAGTAGCTCCCCGCCTCTTCATATCCTTGTCACCAAGTCAACCAACAGCAAGTTCTACCATATCACCCGGAAAGGTCAACATGGGCTGTGAATTATAGAAAAAAAAACTTGAAATAATCAATTGGCCTCTAACGGATACCTGGATGGTTTACTTTGCAATTTTTACGGTTATCGTCAGAGCAAACGAATATAATAACAAAAGCTGCATACGAATTATATATATATATTTATATGTATATGCATGCTTATGTATGTGTGTGTTAAGTATATATGGGCCAATTTCTTTCACTGTTACAAGAAATACTCTTGCCAGAAGTCTTAACAGAGTACCTAATCAAAAGTCAATATTTAACTGGTTCGAAGTTTAAAACTGACGTTGAAAGAGTGATGGGTAATGCAGGAGAAAATGTAAAATGCAGCGAGTTAAAATAGATCAATTGTTGGGCAAAAATAGAGCTGTATAAGTTAGGAAATGGAGAAGCTGGAATAAAGACAAGAAGGAAGAGCTAACAGGTGCAACCAACAAGAGTTTCTACAAAAATGCAAACAGAAGTTAATTTTGAAAGAAGCCATGATCCACACAAGTCTCTACACTCAAAACCATATGCGCACAGCACATTATTTTAAACGCAACTAATAAGAGATAAGAGCATATGCAAAGTCACATGTGGACTTGCTGCTAAAGGACTTTATCATAGCTATGTGAATCCCAGTCATTCAAACGGGATCAGTGAAGAAAACAGTAGCTAATCTTCGTTTGTTAGAAATAAAGCACCTTTTTCTTTTGCTATCTGGGGTTCCCAGGCCCACGTCGCTGAGAAGGCGATAACACTGCCCTGTCTAATCTATCACTGATACAGTTCACATCTGGTCATACATTTTCCTAGTCAAATGTTTAAAATTCAACTTATTTGTGTAACTTTGTTAATTACGCTGGTATGAGGTAAAATTCATTCGTAGCCAGTATACCTGCCATCTGTGTTTCGATTGAGAAAGCACAGAAATCGTTCTTGAATAAAGCAAGTATTTCTAGGAAGAGAGAAGGGCACTTCGCCTGGCACTCACACAAGTTTCCATTGTTACTAAAGTACATGGAAAGTAAACGGACTGTGCTGCCAAGTGAAGTTACCAAGTGTTTCTATCGTGAAATGAGAGTCCAATAGATTGTACGAACCAAGTCACATGACATGCTCGTTGTTCTCCACTAAGCATAACAGAGTGCTAGGTGCTATTTTGATTCGCGAATCAAGCTAAGCAGAACGATTAAACTGTAAAATTACAGCGACATCCTTATGTTTCAATTGTTTATGCACTAGTAGCCATGAATAGCGAGGAACATTATTATGCCCCGGCTCAGATGTATAAAGAATCATGCGCTTATCAGAGATCACAAACCCAAGGATATAATCAAAGCCCACCAGCATGTCTCTATGTAGGGAGGCAGCCACAGACTTCATATGTCAACCCTGCCTTGTCAGGACTTGAACAAGGCAGCCCTGCTGATATTTCTCCCTTTGAAGTACCTGCGATATCTGAGGATCCTACAGTCTCGCATCTTCCCCATCCACAGCAGCAGCCCCCCGACCCTCACACCCACCAAGGGGCTTGTTTTGGGACCAGCTCTGAAATGGGGGCCCTGGATGACCACAGTAGAACTCATCTGCCTTTCCCGTGGATGAAATCGACCAAATCGCATGCCCACGTCTGGAAAGGACAATGGCCGGGTAAGTGTGCTGGGCTTCTGAAAAGCAGTTACTTTTTCTACTGATTCTGAGATTTTTTTTAAGGCGATGATTACCCAAGAAAATAATTAAACTACAGATTAAGGCATGGATGGAGGGCGTTAGATAACAGGGTTAAACATCATTCATTACTCTGGGTATTTCATTCTGGTTAATGCCATCGATATTATTGTCATGTAAAGAGTATATCGATATTCCAATTATCAATGTTGGCAGGACTAATGACATTGATCACTGTAATAGCAGTATCAATTAACACTTCAAGTTGTCAGTGAAAAAAATGATGATCATTAGGCCATACTTATGCTGCATTAAATGTCAAATCTGTACATGACTCCTCTTTATATCAAAACTGTATTTATAATTCCGCCGTTTTAAATGAGCTCATCCATTCTCTCGTTAAACAAGCCCAATCCTGACGAGCAGGCTTCTAGTGAATCAGCCACAAATACAAGATAATTGTTGCTTTATTATTCCCATTCACCGCCTATTTAACATTTAAAATTGCCCCAATAAATCGGCGGTAAAATAACCAATCCGGTGAAGGAACGTAATTTCAGAAATAACGATTTTTAATACATTTTCAAAATAGGCCCAACAGAATGGAGTGTACATTTGATGTTCTCTTTGTTTGGAACATGGACTGGAAACTTTGAAAAAAATGTTAGCAAGCAAATATTTGGCACTATACAAACGCACTGTAGTATTTAAGTGTAACTGAATACTATAACCAGGCGAGATAACAAGGTGTAGAACTGGATGAACACAGCAGGCCAAGCAGCATCAGAGGAGCAGGAAGGCTGACGTTTCGGGCCTAGACCCTTCTTCAGCTGCTTGGTCTACTGTGTTCATCCAGCTCTACACCTTGTTATATCAGATTCTCCAGCATCTGCAGTTCCTGCGATCACTATAACCAGGCGTCTGGCTTTGAAAAGAAAACTGGAATTTCTCCCAGAGAAAAGTTCTAATCAACAACATCACTCGCTAAATTTCACCTGTCTGTTGCGCTTACGGAGGCCCAGAGCTTAACTTGGTCAAACTACAACGAATGAATCAATAACTCGGATGAGTTCCAACTTTGACTTTCACAAAGTGCATGCGAGCTGTATTAAATTATTTTGCATAAAATATACATTTTGAAAACCCAGGACATATCTAATATTGAGACCAATTTAAAATCTAATTATGACAAACTCCAAATTGAATTCAAATCGCATTGCATCCGGGCGATGGTGTGATTGCTGGCCATAAAGGGATCTATATGTGTATAATTAGTCTAGATTTGTTTGCATCAAGCCATAAAAGTGAAATCTCGGTCCATTACATAACCAAACACATGTGGACTGGAAGAAGGGTCTCAACAAATGCTTAGCATTTCACCGAATAGGTAAATGGAGTAGTTTATTTCTCTCAGTCTAAAGTGCTTGTGTTCTCAACAGAAACAGTCTTGTTAAAAACAAATGCAACAATATTGTAAACTCCTTGGTTTGAATTTGAGTGTAAATTATGTATCTGAGAAGCGATGGAGCGCGTTTGAAAAATCTTCTCATTTTTTACTGCCGTCTATTTAACGCAAACGTTACCAGTACCCAGCAAATATATAGCAATAAGCATTGTCCTGGCAAGCAGTTTGCCGGTTAAGACTTATATATACGTCAAAGATTGATTTTCGGTGTTTCTCACTTTTGGAATCAAATTGCTGTTTGTCTTTCTTCTGTAGGTTACGTAGGGGTTATATTTCTATAGGGATACGTTTTGCGATTTCACTCATTAAGTTGAAATTTCAATTCTAATGAATAACAGTTTCCAACAAATACTGGGGACTATACGAAGTAGGGTTAACATGCCTGATATATACCGCTACATTTCCAGTTCAAGTCCTAAAGAGTTAAAAAAAAACAATTTTAAACAACAAAAGACAATCGGTAAACTGATACTGCCAAATTAATAGGGTTAATGTAGCTTTGTCAGAATACAGAATATTTAACTTTTTTAAAGAAAATAAATGGGTCAAATCTGATATGATATTTATATGGCGATTCCACACATTACACGTTGCATCATAGAACAAAACAGAACAGCACTAATAAATAACGCCTTCACAATCTAAATAAACATTCTGAGTCTGTCGTTGAATTGTCCCTATCATGTTAGGAATACTAAGGGCGTGAGTAGGCCACTCCGGCAATGGAGTCTGCTTCTCTTTCAGTTAGATCCTGGCTGATCTGTATGTTAACTCCATGTACCGCCTTCACTCGTTCCTTGATAAACTTTCCGAACAAAAATCTGTCATCTGAGCAACGGCCGCTCCAATTGTCCCAGAATCAACCGAGTTTTAGAAAAGATTTCAGATCTCCACAACAGTGTGAAAGCATGCATCTGATTTTATTGCAAAACAGCATAGTTTTGTAACTTTGAATTTTACCATGGCCCTTCTTGGCCTGATTGTTCCACCATAGGAACTAATTAATTTGTCGAACTCCGATCATATTCTTTCGACGTTTTAAAGTTCAACTCTCAGATCTTTTCGTTTATAACTAACAACGACAAATAAGACGTTTGAATTAAAACAGACAAATTGTATTTCTGCTATAACCCGGCATTATCGTGTTGTAGGCAATAGGAAACAAAGAGTTTGTGGGCAGGCTTTCCTGGTAATAATATTGAGAATGATCTGATCGCCAAAACTGCTTCAGTGAAAAGAGTGGATTTCATTAGGTTCTAAGAGTGAAGGCTCCAGCCTTCAGAATTAAGCTGCAAATTACTGTTGACTAATGAATATTTACCTTCAAACGTGGTCAGCGTCTTGAAGCAGAAAGTTTAGATACTTCCAGCAACAATTTTAAGTTTCTGAAGTGAGTCAGTCAACTTGCGGTTGGTAAAGCAGAAGATCCTTGCTATCAAAACCGGTTCTTCAAGAGAGCGTGTACAAACCAAGCCCAGCGCTAATCCACACATTTACGAAGCGAAGTCCTAGGGGTTCAGTTAAATCGTGTCCCTTGTTGCAAAAGTTACTTGATGATAAGCAGACACAGGTAATTCTTTCCCTCCATGGTGAGTGGGAAACTATTGGAAGGTCGGAAAGGCCAGGTCTCCTGCCATTGGGAGTCCCGGCAGCCTTAGACAATATGTCACTGTACAGTTTTCTAATTTCAAAACAAAAAAATGTCTGAATTGTAGGCCCACTTCCATTAAACCGCGCTCCTTTATGACAATAAAATGTACAGGACTGGGTGTTTCTTTTTACTCAAGAGTTAAAAGTAGCTGCACAGAACACCTTTTCCACCAGGAGATCGATCAACCGAATGATGTGAATTTATGTCAGCTGGGCAATTTAAAGGTATTTTGCAGCAAACTACTTAAATTCACTTTGATCTTGAAAGATCCCTCAATCACTTGATTTAGAACGATTGACAGTGAAACAAAAATTATCGATTAGGAATTGACATCGGCGGCCAAATATAATTAACAATGCACCAGTTCCGGTTATTTCCCTGCTGTTGAAACTGTTGACATGGAATCAGAAATTTGACTTGAAATACTTTTATTTCAAATTGAACAATCGTCCCCAGATTGATATGAGAAAACTAATTCATTTGGAGAGCATAGCAGTACCCTTTAAGGTATAATTTAAAGCTATTTTGCATATGTTTGATAGTTTGTTTGCGTGAACTATCTTTAAATACTTACAAAGCCATACTGTGACTTCTTTCAAAGTAGGGAGAGGAAAGGCGGTTAAGAATCACAGTAGAAAACACAATTTTTAATAAGCGCTAGAGATAGTAGGAACTGCAAGAAGCGCCCTGTGCCTGTTACAAGTGAACAAAAACCCTCTCAATGAAACAACTTGCTTAACATGAATTCCTAATCGATAAAATTGTGTTAATTTTTTTCCAAACTAAAGGTATTTGAAATTACAATAAAATGCGTCCACTTTAAAGTGCTTTCAAGTGATTTGTTTATTTACGCTGATAGGGAGGTCCGGGAATGCCACAGTGGGTATTTTTGAGGGCAATTCAGAAGGCGATCATGTATGGTTGGTTTTCATATCAATTCGCCATTTCAACTATGTTTAAATGAAAATAAGGCACGGTGGTGATTGGATAATTACCCACACCAGTACTGATTCGGTTCCACCATGAAATAATTTGCTGTGCAGAAAGATCATAATCTCTTCAATGGAAGGGTTAGTTTTTTTTCCGTGGAACCTGGACTTTGAACGTGTAAGGTTTTCCTTTGATACGCTAAAACACAATTTTGTTGTTGATGATTCTGAAATGACCACCACAGTAAAACAGCTTGCTGAAGTACCATTATGAAGCAGGCTACATTGATAGACTCCCACAAACCTTACCTTTGGCTGAATCTCGAGTCTCACGCGGCTCATTTCTGGCCGTGAACCTCTTACTGCTCGCCGAAGGAGTAAATGGAAAGTGTCCTACATCATTTAAAAAAGAGTAATATCTAGGGGTGCGCCTGGTGGTCGAACCAATAGAAACAAACAGGAGTAAGGCCCCGGTGCGCTTTGGAACCGCATTATCACTGGTGTGTTATCAGCATTTCAACAAGGAGAAGCATGGTTGGTGTAGGGAAGAATAATAGAAGGAAATATGTGTTTCCAGTTATCTCCTTTCCTCATTTTAACCATACTTTCCTGATGTTGTTTCACCAGGATGTCATCGTTTTAATTTCCTTGACTGGGTATTATTAATTGACTACAACATGCATATTTCCCGAAGCAATCAGGTTAATAATACAGCGACTGAAAGGAAAAAGTTCTGGTGATTTTAATTGATTGGTGTTTTCTCCGTTTTTAGGGAGTTCCTTTATGGTGGAGCCGGAAGAAAATAAGCGCACGCGCACTGCCTACACTAGAGCTCAGTTGCTTGAGTTGGAGAAGGAGTTTCTTTTCAATAAATACATCTCCAGACCCCGCCGAGTGGAGCTGGCGGTCATGTTAAACCTAACCGAACGACATATCAAAATTTGGTTCCAAAACAGGAGGATGAAGTGGAAGAAAGAAGAGGATAAGAAGCGAGTGAGGAATGGCGCTCCGGAACAGGACTCAGTTGTCTCCTCCGGCGATCTTAAGGAGGATGTTTGTGCTCCCAATAATCCTATTGGAAGAGACCTGCTGTCTGTCAGTGTCTCTTCTTCACAGCCCTGCTCTTCCTTAAAAAGCCAAGGTACAGTTGCTAGAGACTCTGCGAAGAATTCGTAAGGTCGAACGTGCAACAGAGTGGAAGAACATCACTGTATAGATCATTTTAATTGGACTTACAACGGGAAAGTATTTTTAATAATTGCGTAGGTTGAGATCTCCCGTAACAATTCCCAATAAATGCCTTACCTGTAGCACTCAGTGACTGCGACGACATAGAGCTAATATCTGCCATTTATTCGTTTTCTTTGTTTGCAATAGCAGTTGGCATACAATAATAGATTCTACATTCCAGCGAGTGGAAACGGTCTGCGATTGTTCAGAAGTAAGAGTCGGCTTCAAGAAATCTAAATATCCATGTGTGTTTGTGCTGTTTCAACTAATCTTGTGTACCGGCATTTGGCAATTTCATTTCGTCTCGTTTTGTAAATTATAATGGAGATGTCAGTTTAAAGTCCACAGTTATTGAATAATATGCCTTTTTACTTGTTTTCCCGGCGGTATAAATTCAGGTGTTGCCTCTGGTTATAAACAAAGACGGCGTATTTGAAATTTTAAAAATAAAGTGCTGGAAATATATATTTTAAGTTGTACGTGTAGAAATATTGCCGTGCTCTGTATATTGTTTTAACCTGTATACTCTTCACTCGAGAAAGACATTCAGCTGTAATCCTACCTGAAGAGGAAAGTTCGACAAGTGTTACATTTTGTTGTAGATTGTTTGTGATCCCATTTTGGTGGCCGGCATATCTATAGTACCGCTTCAATAAAAGAGAAAGATGCTTCAAAGCTGGGGTTCATCGTAAATTTTGTAATCAAATAGACTTGCCTAAAACTATTTTAAATGTTTTTGAACGATTGAATGAAATCTTATTGTCTCAATTTCCTTATTGTTTAGACTGTCGACACACGAGAAAATTAGGGTCAAGTTTTCCACATCACCTTCAACATATACCTCTCATCCTGCCTTGCTTGAGTCAATACCAGTGGAATAGGATTGTGACATCTTCAATGTACCAGGTCAACTGCTCGTACGTTCTGCCCATATGGCGTACTCAAACTTATTGCAGTGCTGTTCTCTGGAGGCTAATCACTGTCAATAATCGGGTTAAAACTGAGAGACCATTTCATTTCAGAGCCCTATAGTTAACAGTGAATAAAACTTCTCTATTAGATAACGATAGAACTCGATCAAATACCAACATCAAAATTTGAATGACCTTATGAATCCCCTAACGAAGGCCATCCATTTAAATAAATATGCGGATGATAACGGTTTACTAAAGAGCATTTGGGCAATTGATATCCCCCAACAGAGGGTCTTGATGTTTTATTCGAAGTAATTGCTAGAATTTATGGTGCCCTGTTAACCACTTACAACCCATCTATTAATTTGAACTGCGTTTTTATTATTTTTTCATGGGACGTGGACATTCAGCATTTGTTACCAGTCGTTAATTTATCGTCAGAAGGTGATGATGAGCTGAGTCTTTGAACATTTCCATCAAAGTGCAGTGTTACTTCGAAGGGAGTTCCAGAATTTTAGTCCCAGGACAGAAAAGGAACAGAGACATAATTCCAAGTCAGGATGGTATGTGGTTTGGAGGTGAGTCTGGAGGTTGTGGTGCTCCCACGTATCTGCCACCCGTGTCCTTCTAGATAGGAAAGATTGTGGGATTTTAGAAGGTGTCACTATATATTGTAAGTGGAAGGATTTAAAGTGACGGATGGAGTTCAATTCAAGTTTTGTACTGAATAGTCTGGGCTTTTTGAGTGTTGTTGGAGTTGCAGTCATCCAGGCCAATGAAGAGTATTTCATCACTCTCCTGACTTGTACCTTGTGGATGGTTCACAGGCATTCTGGTGACAGGAAGTGAATTATTTGCCTTAGATTTCCCAGTCTTTGACATGTTCTTTTAGCCACTGTATTTATATGGCTAGTTCAATTCAGTTTCTGATCAATGGCAACCCCCAGGATATTAACAGTGGGGGATTCAGTGATGGTGATATCATTGAATATGAAGGCATGCTGGTTAGATTCTCTCTTGTCGGATATGGCCATTGCCTGGCACCTGTGCAATGAGAATATTACTTGCCACTTATCAGACCAAATCTGAATGTAGTACAGGACTAGCTGCATATGTACATGGGCTGCTTCTGTATTTGAAGAGTCACAAATAGTGCTAAACATTGTGCAATCATCAGCGAACATCCCACTTCTGAACTTATGATTTGGGGAAGGTCTTTGACAAAAGAGTTGAAGATAGTTGGGCTGAGGACACCACTCTGAAGAGCTTCTGCACTGATGTCCTGGAGCTCAGATGATTGGCTTCCAACAACCACAACTATTGTCCTTTGTGTTAGGTATGACTTCAGCCAATGGAGAATTTTACTCCCGATTTCCAATGACTCTAATTTTGCCAGGTATCTTTGATGCCATATTCAATCAATTGCCACATTGATTTCAAGGGCAGTCATCCTTACTGCCCTCATTTGTTCAGTGCTATTGTATATGTTAGGGCCAAGGTTATAATGAGGTCAGGGGCCCATTGGCCTTGGCAGAGACCAAACTGAGAGTAAGCGAATAGTTTATTACTTTGTGAATGCCATTTGGTAGTACTGTCAATGACAACTTCCATCACTTTGCTGATGATTGAAAGGCTGTTGATGGGGCAATAATGGGTTACTTGGATTTGCACTGCTTTTTGCGAATGCTGTGTACCTGACCAGCTTACCACATTGCTGGGTAGATGCCAGTATTGTAGCTGTACTGGAATAGCTTGGCTATAGATGGGTCTGGTTAGACGTCTTCAATATTATTCCCAAGATATTAACAGAGCTTATAGCCTACATAATGTTCAATGTCTACGGTTGTTTTTGGATGTCACATGGGGTGAATCAGATTGGCTGAAGAATGGTATCTGTGATGCTGAGGACCTCAGGAGCAGGCTGCAATGAATTATCTGCTCAGCACTTTTGACTGATGCTGGCTGCAAATGCAAAAGTCTTGTCTTTTGTACTGATATACTGGATTCTACCATTGTTGAATATAGGGATATTTGTGGACCGACATCCTCCTCGTGTTAGTTATTCAATCATCCATCACTATTCATGACAGATTTGATGGAATGATAAAGTGTGGGATATACCAGCCCTGGAAGTTATAGATTGTGGTCAAATACAATTTTGTTGGTGTTGATGGCCCATGGTGTCTCATGGATACCCAATTTGGAATTGCACTACAGGGCTTTGTCTGAACACGTACATTTTTTTTTAAAAAGATCATTTACAGGATGTGTGCATCACTGGCTAGCCCAGCATTTTAAATAACTCCTAATTACCCAGATGGCAGTAATAAAACAACCACATTGCTGTTCATCTGGAGTTGTATGGTAGGTCAGACCAGGTAATGGTGACCAATTTCCTTCCTAAAAGACATTAGCCATAGAGTTATAGAGTTATACAGTAACGGGACCGACCCTTCAGCCCAACTCGTCCATGCCGATCAAATATCCTAAACTGATCTAGTCCCACTTGCCAGCAGTTGGCCCCTATCATTCTAAACCCTTCCTATTCGTATACTCATCCAGATATCTTTTAAATGATGTAATCGTACCAACCTTCACTACTTCCTCTGACAATTTGTTCCATACACACCCTACCGTCTGCGTGAAAAAGTAACCCCTCCGGTTCCTTTTACATTTCTCCCCTCTTTCTGATCAGAGTCTCAATTTCTCTAATCATCCACACCAACCAGCCTTGCTCTTCACATTAGTAAACCTATGCCCTCTAGCTTTGGACTCCCCTGCTCTGGAAAAAAAGACCTTGGCTATTCTCCTTATCCATGTCCCTCATGATTTTGTAAATCTCTATAAGGTCACTCCTCAGCCTCTGATGCTCGAGGGAAAATAGCCCCAACCTATTCTGCCTCTCCCTATAGTTCAAACCCTCCAATCCCAGCAACATTGTTGTAAATCTTTTCTGAACCCTTTCAAGTTTAACAACGTCTTTCCTATAGAAGGGAGACCAAAAATGAATGCAGTACTCCAAAATTGGCCTCACCAATGTCCTATACAGACATAACATGGCATTCCAACTCCTATACTCAATGCATTGGTCAATGCATTGACCAATGAAGACAAGTGTGCCAAATGCCTTCTTCACCACCCTGTCAACCTGCGACTCCACTTTCAAGGAACTTTGCACCTGTACCCCTAGGTCTTGTTGTTCAGCTATTCTCCCTAGGGCCCGACCATTAAC